ATTAACACTGATATCTCAATTACTGATCATCACATTTGAATAAAATTTGGTACATAAATGCTCTAGGACAATAGACAGACCTGATTAATTTTGATTAATATTAATTCTCTAATTAGCATAATAATTCATAATTTTTTTTGTTCTGTTCTGTTCATATTAGTTACCTGATTTACATAATTAGTTTTCAGCTTTTCCATCAATATCTCATGTACAAGTAATTTTGAATTAATTTTTAATGCGTCTTCAATACTCTCAGCACACGGGAGTTCTTTCTAAGCTTTCTTTGATTCACATTATCGTAATTCAAAAATGTCTTATTTATTTTCTAGGGCTAAAGATAAAGTCAACCACTGCCGGATCAAGTCAAAACAAGAGAGAGGTCTTACCAAATATTACTTGTTAGATAACCTACTATTTGATAGTCTGTATAGTCTGATAACACATTATAGAACATATCCATTGAAAAGCAAAGATATGGAAATTGTCCTTACTCACTCTGTACCGCAACCACAAAGCCACGAGAATAAAGAGTAAGTTGATTTATTCTGTCTGTGATTTGGTTTTGTTTATTCGCGCAGCAAGTGATAGCACACTTGTTCCCTGCTTATTAGTCTTCTGAACAACATGCTTTCTTTTATCATGAATAGTTTTATATTTCGTGATTTCATGACGATGATGATTTTTACAGTAAGTCTTAGAAGTATTGGGGCAGCACGTTAGAAAAGTTGCTTTACTACTAATTCGCAAACTACTTTGGTTTGGACTAAAGCAGATGACCTATTGTTCGAATATTCTGACACCATCAAATAGTATTCATCTCTTAAAAAAAAAAACAATATTTTATAAACAATAAGTTTGAGATTTTACTGGACTGAAGACTATGCAAAATTGTTTGTGTTGGTCAAAAATGCTTTCGTCAAAACCATACTTATCTTCGTGAACAGGTTTGTTTACTGCCCTAATATTTTTCAGACTTGCTATGCCTGCCAAAGCTCGATCGTTGAAATGTGAACATTTCTCTGGGCTGATACGACTCTAAGTGTCAGCAACTTTCACAGAAATTTGTGTTTTTTCAGATATTAATTTTAGACGTACATGATATAACTGGTGTACAGAAATTAATTATGCATCATTCTAGGGCAAACTTATCATGGTAATTTGCAAAATATGCAGTGATTGTTGGGCGTTGCTTCAAAACAAATGTTGAAAAGAATTGAATATGGCAGATAATAAAATGCTTATGTGCAAAGTTTTGAATTGTGGGTAGAAAAGCGCCACCAAGAGCTAACAATCTGTAAAGTCTATTTTACGTTACGTTTTGTCGCCAGCCAGATTTTTTTGGGTCAACAAATGGCGACCGATATAATTTTTTTTAAACGCCATGGAGACCAAAATGTTTGTAATCTAGAGGGCTGAATTATGGTATTTATTAAATTGTTAATCACTTTTTCTATCATTATATCAAAGATTGTGTCACAGTGTATCAGGTGATAGGAAAGCTACTTTGAATTTTTGACTCTGAATTTTACACTGGCACACTCATTTTGACATTTTCTGATGTTGTTTTCTAGCTGGTATCACAACAGACTTACACGAAAAGACTCAGAAAACATGATGAAAAGAGTTCACAGGGATGGTGCATTCTTGGTTCGCAGAAGTGAAAGGATAGACTACTATGCTATTTCATTCAGGTAATTATGTAACCTTATCACCATTAGTTCCCTCTTTTCATCACAAATTCAGTCCAGTTTATAGTCCGCACTTACTTTCAGAAGATTGGGACAAAAATAGCCAAATTTTTTGAGTAAAACCTTAAAATTGACTCAAGTGGTGCCTGCCTGTTAGCTTCAAAATTAAGGTTCATTTCCAGAAATATTGAAGAAAATATTACAAATATTGTAATATTTTTCAAAAATTTCTATTTTTTGAACAATTCCTTAGTACACAATGTTAAGAAAAAATTGCATTTTTTTTTTATACCCAGGTATTATCTACCATAGGAACCTATGGTAAACACATTGTAATACTGTCAAATGGCAGCTATCCACTAAAAGACAACCATCATTTCCCAAAAATAAGACTGGTATTGCCTTTGAGTACAATTTATTGCAAAATGAACAAATTCTTGGTATTTTCATTCATGTGTCGGCTTCTACCTAAATGGTTTGTAAAAGTATTTGTATGTGTATGGTGAATAATTATATAATTAAAGATTTTAGTTTTCTTTAACTTATTTTATTTTTTTAGATCATCTGTCCAAATTAAAAATGTCTTTAGTAGTATTTGATGTACAGTCAAACCTGTGTTAGTGGCCACCTCTTTACAAAGATCAACTGCCTATAGTGACCACTTTTAGGCAGTTACACTGCATATGAGTAACCTGTGTATAAAGACCACCTGTCTATAGTGACCAGTTTTAGGCAGTCCCAAGGCATAATGTATGAGCAACCTGTGTATAAAGATCACCTGCCTATAGTGACCAGTTTTAGGCAGTCCCAAGTCATTATTTATGAGCAACCTGTGTATAAAGATCACCTGCCTATAGTGACCAGTTTTAGGCAGTCCCAAGTCATTATTTATGAGCAACCTGTGTATAAAGACCACCTGCCTATAGTGACCAGTTTTAGGCAGTCCCAAGTCATTATTTATGAGCAACCTGTGTATAAAGACCACCTGCCTATAGTGACCAGTTTTAGGCAGTCCCAAGTCATTATTTATGAGCAACCTGTGTATAAAGACCACCTGCCTAT